TTAACAAAGCATTACAACCCCAACATAAAAGAATCTCTAGGAAAACCGTTCGTTCCGCAACCATGAAAAACTTCCTAGAGTACAAAATGCGGTTACAAGACGAATTGAGTAACCTTAACTGTAGAGTGTCTTTGACTGCCGATTCTTGGGATAGTGGTTATAAATATCACTATTTATGTGTGACTTGCCATTGGGTAGATGATCAATGGTTGTTACAAAAACGAATAATCCATTTCAAAATGCTGGAATACCCCCACACCGGTATTTACATTGCTCACCATTTAATGGAAGCAATAAATGAATACAACCTTCGAGATAAAATCATGGCTATGACATTTGACATTGCAACCGCAATGACATATATTGCTAATTATGTCAAACAAAACTTGACCGATGTAATATTAGATGGTGATGCACTTCATACTAGATGTGTTTGCCATGTCCTTAACTTGTGTGTACAGGATGGACTTAGAGCAATGGGTCCATACTATAACAAAATTAGAGAAGCTATTATGTCTATTAATAGCTCAAACATGAGATACCAAGAATAGAAGAGTTTTCTAAGACAACAAAAGATAAGGGCAATAAAAATCAAAACCGATTGCCCAACTAGGTGGAATTCCACCTATGACATGTTAACCAACGCAACTGAGTACAAGAATCCGTTGACAATTTTTTACAACCAAAAATTTCCAAACAATGCTCTATATGAGGATGATTGGGATAAATGTGAACGATATATGCAATTTTTACAGTTATTATATAACATGACGTATTTTTTTTCTTCTGTTTATAATCCTTGTGCTCAAAACTTTCTTTCAAATGCATGTTTACTTGCCCAACTTTTCGTTGATTATCGCAACCAAAGTGATTATGATCAGTATCTTCCAGCAATGGAAACAAAGTGGCGTAAATATTATACTGAAATTCCTTTGATTTATATTTTTGCTTCCATATTAGATCTTAGGAAAAAGTATGAAAATACATTTATGTTAGTTGACATTTATTTTCAATGCATGCTTTTTGACGATAATGTAGAAACGTATAAGAGTAATGTGAAGGATCAGTTTTTTTCTTTATATAGAGTCTATGAAGCCAAATATGGCACCGTTCCCCGCTCAGGCCCATCCCAACCATCCAAAAACGTAAGTAATAAGAAGGCCAAACATTTATTTTCACAAGCCACTAACTTGATTTCAAGGTTTTCAGGTGATTCATCAATAAGGAGAGCGCAAAGCGATGTCTCGGAGTTACAAATGTACCTGAGTTACGACTTCACCAAGGGCATGGACGACGATGAGATAAATAGCCTCGACCTCCTTGCATGGTGGAAACAACAAAGTACGAAGCATCCAACTTTGGAGGCAATGGCACGATTCATTCTTGGTATCCAAGTCTCCTCTGTTGCCTCCGAACGAGCTTTCAGCGCATCCGGGAGGGTTTTAGACGATGGAAGAACAAGTCTAAAACCCGAAACACTTGAAATATGCGTGTGTTTCAAAGATTGGTTGGATGCGAAAAATCGCTCACAAGACCGTTCTTACGACGACAACGACAACGATGAAGGAACCTCCGCTTCCGACTGTTCAGGTTCGGCTAGTTCCCAATCTATGAAACTAGCTGATGACCTTGACGCCCGAAGACGAAGACGAAGATAAAGACGCACAAGAAGAAGAAGAAGAAGAAGAGGAAGAAGAATAGACAATTTTTGTATATTGTACGATTTTTATCATTATCCATATTATCATTTTACGATTTTTATCATTATCCAATTTTTGTTTAATATCCTTGTACGATTTTTATCATTATTATCATTGTACAATTTTTTCAAGTAATAATAATATGAAATATGCATTATTCACATCCAAAGTCCAATTTGCCTTTTTTCGTTAAGTTATAATTTGTAATTAATATAACAAAAATAAAATTATAATAATTAATAATTAATAATACAAAAATTAATGTAATAAATTATAAACATTAAACTATAAAGTAATAGTATAAACTAAATATATAAATTTAAATATTAAATATAAAAATAATAAAACATAAATATTAAACTTAATTTATTTTAGAAAAATAATAACATAAGATTATAAGTTATAAACTATTAATAAATAAATAAAAAAAAGGAAGGAAAGGGAGCAGGCCAGCACGGCACGAGCCCGCCTGGCCTGTGACTTTGGGCGCCACGGCACGACACGCCAACTCCGGCACGGTGGCACGGCACGGCCTGCCGGAGACCGTGGCCCGCCAGACACGGCCCACAGAGACACGGAACAACACGATGCACATCTTTAGATGGGACGCCGGAAGTGGAGTAGAATCTTTGAAACTCGCGAGTTCTCCATCAATTGGATCATTCCTTGGTGGAAATCGAGAAGATGACTGGAATCAACTCTCAACCTTCCGGCCGTATCCCCAGCTTGTCCAAGTTGACCTTTTATTACCCCTCTAGAGTAATGAGGCAGTATGGTCTTGCTCAAACCATCCCTTCTGATGATCATCGTCGATCTTATGAGTACCCTGTATCAAAGAACGATGAAAGGTTTGACGATTATTGGTGTGCTAGACCCTTATGGAACGATGTTTCCAATAGAGTTCCTCCCCCATTGTCTAGGGAATTCAAACAATGGTTACTTGGGCGAAATCAAAAGGATAAAAACAAGGTTCAAAACACATGTTTTAAGGGTGTGGAGATGACAAATGTAAAAGACCGCTTAGGTGACAAGAAGGTTCCTCCTAAAGATCACCTGTGTTCAAAAGTTGAATTCAAGACTCCTATAATACCTAAGAAGAAGGGTGATGTAGAGGGTAAAGGGAAAAGGAAGGCTAATCCTATAGAAAGAGAAAAGAAGGCTTGGGTTGAGAAGAAGGTAGGGGTCTTTGCTAAAGGGGAAACTTCTTCTACTAAGGTGTCGGTTCGATCATCTAATGGTTCTCTATTGGTAAAGGAACTAGAAGATGAAGGGGATTCAGACAAGAATTGGAAAAGGGTTCGAAAGGAGAAGAAAGATTAGAGCATTGATTTACTTTTAATGTCATTAGACAATTTTTAGTTCCAAATTAATTTTATTTTCAAGCTTTTAATCATTAATAATGTACTTTCAATTTTAGTTCAATTATTAATGCAATTTTAGCTTTTAATTAACTTAACTTTTGTTATTTTTAATATTCCTTTTTATTAGAAATATTTTTTTAAGCAATGAAAACAACTTGTGTAATTTCGAAAATAATTCGAGTACGGAAGTCGGAAAAATTGTTGAAATAATCTGAAACTGTCGCAATCCATTGCAGTTTGCCTTCGGAGAAAAATGATTTTGTCGCGGCACGATGGTTAGTGAGGCGACGTGACGAACCTGTCGCGACGCTTTGAATTCTGTTTGTTTCCAATACTAAAAAAATTTAAGGATAATTTCCTGAGTACGGAAGTTGGGAGTAATGGAAAAAACTTGAGTGATATGTTACATGCAATCTTGTTTCCTTCGTCAATGCACCACAGGATTTGGAGCTTCTGAAGCTGAACTGACAATTTCTTCCAAGTTCGAATTGCCAAATTCCGAATAATTTTAAATTGAACTACCTTTTTGGGGATCCCTGATGTGAACCCAATTATTTGTTCTTAACTTCCGAAACCTTTCAAAAAATAACTTACATTTTCTTGTAATTTGTTAATTATTGTATCGTCATGTAATTTGTTCAAAAGATAATCTGAGTTCGAAAATCGGAGAATTTTTTGAACGAACTTGAAAGCAGAAAGGATTGCAGCAATTCGTTGTGTATTTGGTTGAGCTGAATTTTCATCGTGGCGCGATAATTTTATATCAGCGTGATGGTTTCTGGCGCGACGTGATAGTCCTATCACGACGCGTTGGTTTCTGTTTGCTGATTTTTTTGCGATTCGAAGCTGATATTTTACATAAAAAGGCGGGTTTGAAAGACTTAATTGGTCGCACCCCATAAAAAGGTTGCCTACGTATCCTTGTTAAGGAATCAGGCCGAACGTAACTCTCTTGAGTATAAAACACAATTAACTTATGGGTAGAAATTCTTGACTTGGTCAAGATTTGTCATATTTGAGAATTCATTACCATCCATATCTGTTAATTTGGCTGCGCCTCAAGATAGGATAGTTTTAACAATGTATGGTCTAGACCAATTAGGCCTGAACTTGCCTCTTGGGTCTAGAACATTTTTTCTAAGTGCTTTTAACACCAAGTTTCCTTCCTTATGTTTCTTGCCTTGACCTTTTTGTTGAAGTATCTAGCCATGCGAGTTTGATAACATTGGACATGATGTAAGGCTTCTAGTCGTTTTTCGTCGAGTAGAATTAACTATACACAAGGAGGGTATTTCTAGCTCGTTAAGCTTACTCTCTAATGCTATACACAAGGAGGGTATTTCTAGCTCCACAGGTTGTACGACGTCCATTCCATAGACTAGGGAGAACGACGTAGTTCCTGTGGATGATCGGATTGACGTGCGATAACCCCAAAGGGCAAAGTGGAGTTTGTTAGGCTAATCCTTGTAATTTTATGTCATCTTTTCAATGATTATCTTTAGATTTTTATTGGCTGCTTCCACTAGACGAAAAAGGTAATTTGGCACCGGTTCAAACCCCCCTAGGCACCGGTTTTGAACCATTGGAGATTTGAGGGGTGCCAAATCCTCAAAAATTTGGCACCGGTTCAAAACCGGTGCCAACTAAAGGTTTTGGCACCGGTTAACCGTTGCCAAGTTCAAACGCGGGAATTTTTTTTTTTATCAACACTATTGGCACCGGTTCTTGACTAAAACCGATGCTAATAGTCTCAAAAAAAAATTTAAAAACTTTTGGCACCGATTCTGATCAAAACCGGTACCAAAAATACCCCCAAAAAATAAATTTTTTTTTTTTTTTTTTTTTTTTTTTTTTTTGCATTTTTTTCACTTAAATTGCTATAGAAACATTAATATATATATATATATATATATATATATATATATATAGTTACATATTTTCATTAAAAAGGCTGTAATATTACAATTTTTGTCCAAAAAAAAAATCAAAGCAAGGAACGAAAAATTATATATTTGTGCAATAAGAACCAGGTTTTGTTACCCAATAGAACCAGGTTTTGTTATTCCAACAATTACAGCAGCAACAACACACCCTTTTGCTTCACTTACTAGACTTTTTCTTATTGATTTTCCTGTCAATATCTTCCCACTTATCTATATGTGATTTTCGAAGCAGCTTGGGAACTGGTCCCACGAGTAGCAGGTGGCTCAGATGGAAGAGTTGGAGGGGCAGCTTTCACATGATTTCCCTGAAAGAAAGAGAAGAAAGTACATCTTAATCACAGACAGGTAAAAAAAAAATAGAAAATGTATCAAAAAGGCATCCTTTAGAAACGGGCTTGTAACCATAGACATGCTGAGCCAATATACCGACAACAGGTGGTGCAAAGGATGAAAGTATCTGAGCTGAATTAGCAGGCATGCAGATTGCAGATTATACGGTTTTCTCAAAAAAGCAAAGTTGCAAATAACTGTAAACGCCATGATCTTTCCTTACCTTCGTCTATAACTCTATATGATGTTTCTTGTTTCCATGAATTATGTTGAACATTTGATACGGTACCTCCAACGTGAAAGTCGGTCTGTCAAAACTTGAAACGGAGGTTAGATAACTCAAAAGTACTGATCAATGGTAAAGCATATATACAACACTACGTAAAGATCAATGTATATGAATCGATGTATGATCAATGGTAAAGCATATATACAACACTACGTAAAGATCAATGTATATGAATCAAAAGTACTGATCAATGGTAAAGCATATATACAGCACTACGGAGGTTAGACTCCTGACCTTTAATTTCTTCTGACTTTAAAAAACGAACTATGAATCAATGTATACCTATGCCATGAATTGATGCAACTTTAAGAAGATTATGATTTTAGGATAGAATTCAAGTATTCAAGGCAATTAAGATAAACATATATTCACGCACTCTCGTCAAAACATAAAGATCCAATAGGTGGCATCACAAGTCAACAAAAAAAACATTGTATTTACAGAAAACAGGAAGATATATGATATTTATTGATGTGAGAAATACCTATCATTTGCTAGATTCCAAGCATCTTGCCTTAACTCTAAAGGTTCTTTAAGTTCAAGGACAGCTAGGTAGTTTGATATGAATTTGTGCGGGTGCTCAACATGACAAATGAAACCCATTTCTTTTAGGAGGTGTCTTTCTGTTCTTATCAAATCCATCTCCAGCTTCGAAGAACGGCAGGTGCACCAAGTGACCTCAATGTCAAGTACTTTTGAGCCGGGGGTAGCATAGTTGAGTCCTGTTAGAGCATAATAATGTGGCAATTACTGGACTAAGATTATCGAATATAAAAGTCAGGCTATTTGCCTAACAATTAACAGAGGAATGGTAAAATTTCAACCTCTATTTCATCAACTAAAAGCTCTGAAATATATACAGAAGTTCTTCATCGCGATTTATAGGAAAATGTACTTACAGGTTTGACACCCATATAGTTCAATAATGGTTTTGCTAGAGAAATGAGAAAAATCGCTTGAAGAAGTCCGAGGATTGCACCAATAACCAAAGCCGATGAAGCAGATGGTATGCTCCTCCTTTGAGGCTTTGAACTTTCAACACTAAAGCTGCTTGTTTCGGCCTTAACACTCTTACCCTAATCTAACAGAAAATAACACTTCTAACGTTTAGAACTCGCCAATGTCCAAAAATGTTGCAATTTCAAAAACATTAAAAGTTGCTATTTCAAGACATACAAAACATAAATACCTGATTGAGGTAATAATTCTTTGGATTCATTAGTACAATTATTAGAATGCAGCAAATCTACAAATCTAACTAAAATGAGCAACAACTTTTAATCTGTAAATTCAAGGTAACACAATAAGCATAAAAACACTGCCTCAACTGTAATAATTTCAGCAAATTAAATTCTAACTTAATACATTCCATTTATCAGAACAATTATTCGAAAATGTGAGCTAAATACATAACTATACGAAGAAAAAAGATGGAATAATATCTATGAAAAGACTTGCCAACTCTTAGAAAAATAACCACTTGCATGATAATATGGATGACTCACAACACATTTTAATAATTTACAATAATTAATAATTTAGATTCACATTTCAGTATTTCACATTTCAATAATTTACAATAATTAATAATTTAGATTCACATTTCAGTATTTCACAAAAACAGCCAAACACTCAAACATGGGAAACAATCAAACAAATTAAATCAATAATCATTAATCAATTCAATAATCAATACCCACAAGGCCACAAATGACAAATTTACAATAAAAGTATAAACTATAAAACAATTAAACATTTAAACAAGTAATGAAATTCAGATTTACATAAACATAATCATACCTCCATTGATTAATTGATTTGGGTGAATTGGCCAAGTAAACTTAGGCAATTGAAGGCTGTAGAAGTGTCGAACACCAAGTCACCATCACCAAACTGCTGCCTGCTGCTGCTCTGCTAACACGAACAGTCACGAACTCACGAAGGCGAATGACGATTGACGAAGGCTGTCGAAGTTCCAGCCAACCAGGTCACTGCGTGGCTGCGTGCTGGTCGAGGCGAACTTCCGGCGAACGGGCGACGGCGTCACGGCGAGGCGAGGGCGACTGGGCGAGGCGAATTGAAGTGAGAGAAATTGAATAGGAGGAAAATCTAGGGTTTGGCTTTGCAAGGAGCTGTGACTCTAAAAATCCAACAACCAATCACGACCACCGTCACATCGCCTTGATGCCGTGAAGAATGAAGATAGAGTGTGGTGTCGGTGGAAAGGGGTGCGTAGTGGAGTCAAGGGGGAAATGGGGAAAGGTAGAAGGAGAAAGGAGAAGGAATTGAAAAAGAAAGGCGCAACGTTGGAATAACCTAACCCGGGTTTTTTTTTTCTAAAATATGGCGCCGGTTTGAACCGGTGCTAATTAATATAGTTGGCACCGGTTTAAGGCGAACCGGTGCAAACTCTATGCCATATTTATTTATTTTTTTTTAAAATAAGTTGGCACCGGTTTGAACCGGTGCCAATTAAATGATTGGCATCGATTTTGGTTGGAATCGGTGCCAACTCTGAATTTTTCAATCCCGCCCATTTCTTTTGGCACCGGTTTTCAAGAACCGGTGCTAAAGGAAGGGTGCCTATTTCATTTTTTCTACTAGTGTTCTACTGCGCCATTTGCTTAAGGTCTATATGGAGAGGAGTGGTGATGTTAAATACCATACTTTTTAAGTAATTCTTACACTTCGCTTGAAAGTGAGTACCCATTGTCACTTATCATTTCGTGTGGGACTCCATATCTACATACAATGTTCCTTTCAATAAAGAGTGCCACATGTTTTGCAGTGAGTTTTGCGTAGGAGGCTGATTTAACCCATTTGGTAAAATAATCAATAGCAACGAGGATATATTCATGACCTCCCGTTCTAGGGGGAGTGATTGTTCCAATGATATCTATTCCCCAAGTTGAGAATGGCGATGGAGATGTGTAAGTGTAAAGAGTGATGGTGGAACATGTTGCAAACTGGCATATATTTGACATTTTGCACATCTTTTTACATCTTGATGGCAATCTTTTTGCATGGTAACTTGGCACATGATTTTCTGAACCAGCATTTGGCTATTCATATGCGTTCTACATGCTCCTTCGTGGACGATTTTCATTGCTCTTTGAGCTTCCTTTTTGCCTACGCATAGAAGGGCTCTTCCTTTAGGTACTCTTTTATGAAGTTCATCGTTTAAGAGTGCGAATTGTGAGGCTAAGAGTCTCAAGGCATGCTTTGCTCTTTTGTCGGCATTAGGCGGATATTCCCCTTTGGCGACATAATTGAGGATGTCTGTATACCATGGTTCTTCTTCTTCTTCTTGGTTTTCTTCTTCATACTCAATGGCTTGAATATAAGCAGGCATATGCCTTTTCTCTATCGTTAAAGGCATTTGCTCAATTTCCATGGAAATTCTAACCATTGAGGCTAGTCTTGCCAAGGCATCAGTAAATTGGTTTTCTTTTCTTGGTAGGTATGTGTCTACTTTTTCAAGTTGATCAGTGAGGGTTTCCAAGTAGGTTTGGTAAGGAGCTAGACTTTCACTCTTCACCTTCCATCTTTTGGAAATCTAGTTGATGATAAGGGACGAATCTCCGAATATTCGAAGCTTCTTGACTCCCAATTCTAAGGCTATTTCGAGGCCTACCACACATGCTTCATACTCTGCAGCATTGTTGGTGACGTTGAAGTCAAGCTTTATTGAGATTGGGACATGTTTTTCCTTAGGTGATACTAGTAAGACTCCTACGCCTAATCCTTTCTGGTTGGATGCGCCATCGAAGTATAATGTCCAAGTATCATCCTTAGTGACCATTAACTCTTCATCTGGAAAGTCATTTTCTTGCACTGGTGTTGAATCCTCAATTGGAAAGTCTGCCAAGAAATCAGAGACTGCAGATCCCTTGATAGACTTTTAAGGCATGAACTGTAGGTCGAATTGAGCTAAGTTCACTATCCATCTTGATATTCTTCCATTAAGTGTAGTTTTTTCAAAGAGATTCTTGAGAGGATCCATTCGAGATACCACATGGACTGTATAGACTAGCATGTAATGTCTTAACTTAATTGTTGCCCACACGAGTGCGAGGCACAACTTCTCAAGGGGCGTATAGCGGATATTCAAGCATCTTCTTACTTAGATAGTAGATGGCATTTCCCTTTCCTTCTACTTCTTGTGCGAGCATAGCCCCCACTGTTTCCTAAGTAACTGTTAAGTATAGGTGAAGGGAAATGCCAAGTAGTGCTGGCGCTAGCACAGGAGGATTTACATGGTAGGATTTGATCTTATCAAAGGCTTCTTGACATTCATTGTCCCATACTACTGGCCATTATTTTTGAGTTTCTTAAATATTGGTTCACATATCATGGTGAGCTTTGATATGAACTTACTTATATATTGCAACCGACCAATAAATCCTTGAATTTATTTCTCGATTTTGGGCGGTGGCATGGTCATGATTTCCTTTATCTTAGTGGGATCTATCTCAATTCTTCTAGAGCTAATGATATATCCTAGAAGCTTCCTGATGTAACCCCGAATGCACACTTGGTGGGATTTAGCCTCATGTTGTATTTTTTAAGCCTTTCGAAGAATTTTCTCAAGGCTACTTGGTGGCCAGGGCGATCCTTGGATTTTATGATCATATCGTCCACGTACACCTTGACTTCTTTGTGCATCATGTCGTGGAGTAAGGCAGTCACTACTCTTTGGTATGTGGCACCCGCGTTTTTCAACCCGAATGGCATTACCGTGTAGTAGTAAGTGCCCCATGGTGTTATGAAGGTTGTTTCTCCATGTCTTCTTCTGCCATGTGAATTTGATTGTAACCTGTGTACCCATCCATAAATGAGAGAAGTGCATGATTGGTTGTGTTATCTACTAGAATATCGATGTGAGGAAGAGGGAAATCGTCCTTTGGGCTAGCCTTGTTGAGATCCCTGTAGTTGACACACATTCTTACTCTACCATCCTTCTTGAGAACTGGTACCGTGTTGGCAACCCATTCTCGATACATGGATACCTTGATAAAACTTGCAGTTATTTGTTTTTGGACTTCTTCTTTTATTTTAAGTGTTACGTCGGGTTTCATTCGACGCAACTTTTGTTTTACAGGTTTCCTTCCCGGGATTAGCGGTATAGTGTGTTGAGCAATTTCTTTGTTTATACCTGGCATATCTTCATATGACCAAGCGAAGACATCAATGAATTCCGCAAATGGTTTTATTATTTCAATTCTTTCCTCTTTATTTAAAGTTAAGCCAATTTTAACTCCTCTTTTAATAGTGGGATCTTTTAATATATTAACTATCTCAGTTTCTTCGATTATTGCTGTTTTATTCTCAAGTGTTTCCATTGCTTTAATTATTTCTTTTTCATATTCATTATTAGCAAAGCAATGCTTGTCATCTTGGGTGAGGGAATAACACGAGGAGTAAGAGGAAGAAGACATATTATTGAATTCTTGAATCATTACATCGAAAAGAGAAAGGTCTGATGGGACCTGACTACTTACTATTCTTGGGGTAGGTGCTAAGTTAGGTGAGATAGTAGGGGGTGCAACTACTAAGGACTTAGAAGACTACACAATAGAAGACTCTAAAGGAGAGTCGAGCTCAGACTCGCACTCTGACTCAGACGACTCAGACTCGTCGAACATGGGTCCTTCTCCCGTGGTTATGGATATCTTCCTTCCACTTAGTGTAGTCACCTTCACGGTCTTGCGCCATCCTTTGAGTAGTCCTTCTACCGGGGTGATGAGCTTGGAGGGGTCAAAATTTTCACTTTGTAGTGCAGTTTGTATAAGTGCAGAATTGTCGTCGACACGCTTGGGCTCATTTTTCTCATACCCAAAGAGGAGACCCATGACATTAACGTCAAAGCATGGAGGTGTTTGTTCCTTGTAAACAAGAGCTGGGATCTCGTCTAGGAAGTTGCAATCCAGGAAAATTTCGATCCCAGGCTGGCGTACCCTCCTGACAAGTGATACTGGGAATTCGTAGCATGGATAATATTCTCCCTCTTTTATGAATTTTCCATTTAAAGTGAGAGGGTATGATACCATTAGCGTTGCATCTTTCTGGGTGCGAGCTCTTCTTCGTGCATTAGACTTCTCCCGGGCTCGCTTAAGGTCCTCTAGAGTTGGTTCGAAACCAAGTCCAAAAGTATCCATTTTAGGGAGGCTAGGTAGTCCTATTTGCTTAGCTATTCCTTTCTTCTTTCCTAAAGTTATCCTAGGAAAGTGCCCTAGTCTCTTAAGGATAGCATTGACCATGAGATTTGAGTGGGGGTTGTAGTCAAGAGGGGTCTTTTCATCTTCACCGATAAAAGAGACCTCTTTGGCGTTAAAGCCCCACAAATCTTTGTCATTCTCATCGTGCTCCACATTAATGATTGGTTTATCAACCGCTTTAATTCTCATTGGGGAAGCATCGATTGTGACAGGAATGCCTCCAACTATAGCCTTTACTTGTTGATGGAGGGATGAAGGGACGACTTTAAGGTCATGAAGCCAAGGGCGTCCCAATAATAAGTTGAATGAAGCCTTGATGTCTACTACTTAAAAAGTAGTACTATGTTCAATGACTCCTATAATGACATTCATAGTAATGGTTTCAAAGGCTTGGCAACGAGTGTTGTCATAAGCCCTTATGCCTTGTGTGGATGGAGTTAAGACCTCTTCCTTTATTCCAAGCATCCTCGCAGTACAGAGGGGGCATATATTAATTGTCGAACCATTTTCTACAAGGGTTATGGGCACATTCATTCTTTTACATACCACCGTGAGGTTCAAAGCTTTATTATGTTTATCACCTTCTAGCGGTAAGTCCTTGTTAGAAAAGGTGATAAATTATCAGGACTGGGGAGGTCACTTGTAAGGAAGTTGGCCAACCCCTCTGGAGTAGTCTTAGAATCTATTCCTACTTTTTCTAAAGCATCCATCACTGCAACTCTATGTTCATGAGATGAAGCTAGAAATTTCCAAACATTCATCTCGACCTTGGTCTTTTTGAGCTGCTTGACGATGTCATTGTCTTCAATGACAGGTGTTGGAACTTGTTGAGTTGTAGGTATAGGTAAAGTTGTGACTGGTGGTTGCAATCTCTCGGACCTTGTAAGCATAGTGATTGGGGAGTCTTCATCCTCATCTCAAATGTCATTATAGTCTTCAACAGGGTAAAATGCGGCAAGTGGTGGTTCTTCCATATCTTTGAGGTATACATCCTCATCATTGTTGTCCCAAATTCCATTGATGTTGGCATCATCGTCCCAAATTTTACTGTTATCTAATTTTGGAATGTTGATGAAAAGTTTCCCATCATCTATGAGTCCTTGGATATATCCCTTTAACCTTAAACAGTTTTTAGTTATATGTCCTCCAGATTGATGGTACTTGTAGTAGAATTTGTCCATTCTTTTAAGGGATTTTTAATGGCTTTGGCTCAAGAGGCTTGACCATATCCTTTTTAAAGAGCATGT